CAGCCAAGAACGGGCAACTTAGTGGGACCTTGACTCCAACAAAAACAAGGAGCAAAAAGAGGCTAGAGATATAGCTCACTACAAAGGCCCTGGGTTCAACACCCAGAACTACAAAGAAAAAAAAGTTATCATCATTTCCTTATGCTGTATGTATCGTCATATTGTAATCGGTACTCTCTGAAAAAAAAAAAAATGAGAGGCCTAACTCTTAAAATCTGTAATAATGAACTCATTATACATTAAATTCCTGAAATCCACCAGGGAATTACTATAACAAAAAACTATTTTAACTGTCAAACTATAGATAAGAATATTTTAGTATGTATTTGCTTATGATGCTATTATAACTAATACACTGAAAAAAGATATGATCAATCTTATGGGAATTTCTCAAAGACACATAGGCAGATAAATGTTCAGAGGTTTAATGTTTAAATGCTGTCCATCATACTGTAATTTAGGGAAGCACCTCCCAAGGGACAACAGAGCTTCAGTCAACAGGCATCAAGCGTTCCACTTCTGCAGTCTCTGTCTACTATGAGATGAATACACCATGAGTGCTAAGGGACCCAGGTGCCATTAAACACTCAATTCCTTTAGCTCCCAGTGTCTGGACCCTTTGCCACCAAGAATCACATGATATTGTCTTGTTCCCTACGCAGATTTACCAGTGAGGATACAACACTCTGGTTAGGCAAACACCAATGCACTGGATCCTGTAATAGTTATGTTTCTCATCAGAAATGACTTCAATTTTGTAGTTACTGATCCTGCTTCCCAGAAAATTTGAGTACCGGAAGAAAATACACTCAACACAGCGATACTACCCTTCTGGTGCAACTGTTCAGAGATTTTTTTCATATAACCCAGTAGCCATCCAGGCGTTGTTCTCTTATTCTAGGTTTAATGTCAGTCCAACTCAGATGTGGGGGTCCATGCTCACTAAAATGACACATCAAGGACTCTGAGCCTACAGATGGGCCCAGCCCTCTCTGCCTTCCAGGATGGACCAAGTAAACTGCGTTTCTGTCTTAGAAATTCCCATACCAAAACCCAGTAGTGTACATGATTCTCACAAGGTGGATGGTCTTGGGCTCCTTTCATATTTGAATGAACTAGCTAACAGAGTTTGAACTATTTCAGTTTTCTGAAAGAAAAACAATTCTTTTGTTTCCAACCTAT